AGTAAAAAATGTACACACCCCCAAGCAGTTACAAAATCGGTGTCAAAACATACAACAACAATCGAATCAATAGTTCTTTTAGACAAGTACGTTCTTGCTGAAAACGTGTATATCGTTAGACATGCCATATAGATGCAATAGATGGACAAAAAATCTATTTTATGTATTTAGCGGAATTAACCTATTTTTTTGGAAATCACTTTCTTTTTTATTCTTAGGATTAATGCATTTTTAAAAGGAAATATTAACTTTCTGTTTGAAAAAATATTTTGAAGAAATAAAATTTTTTTAAAAATATTTTGGGTTAGAAAATTTTCTTTTAATTAATAATTTTTAGCACTTTAAAGTAATTATAATCAGTAATCGTTTTAATAAATTTAAAATTATATTATATTAAATTAAAAGTTGATATTTTTGTAATGAAGTGTTTAGAAAAAAAAAGTATTCTTAGTTGCTTAAATGCTATCGTTTTCTCTTCCATAATTTAGTTGTTATAGTGATATTAATCTTTCTATTTATACTAGAAATTTATATCAATTTTATTGCCTTCAAAATTCTCTAAAATTCTGGGTTTAATTCCCAAAAATTAGGATTTTTGATGGAAGTTTCAATTAAAAAACAGCGTATTTAATCACAATCAATAGAAAAAATAAAATAGCTTTCATTGGTTTTTGAGTTTCTAATTGAATTTACAAAATGCATGATTAAATGCATGCAAGAAAATTCGATAAGTGAACAAAAACATATTCAGAAAAGGTATTTTGTTTAACCTTTTTTTAAAAAAAAAACTAACAATATACACATTTTTTTAAGAAAAAAGACAAACAAAATATTTATGTTTCGAAAATATATTTAACTTTTCTTTGTAATTTTGTTAGTTCCAATACATTTGAGCTGAACGCTTGCAGCACTTTTGATATTATTTTTTAATTCAATCAATGTATCATACTTCATATATATATATATCATACTTCAATTAAAAAAAAAACGTTATACAAAATAAAGACCTCTTCAAATTCACCCCGACTTCCTGTTATAGAAGTTGGTCCCACGAAGTGTATGCACATTTTTTGAGACACCCTATATTTACAATACAAAATAATTTAAAAGGAATTATTTTGAATCAAATATTTGCAGCATATATACGTCAACAACAACTATCTAATTTACATCGATACAATATTGGAGCTTTCCAATATGCATCATATAAAAATGCATTCTATAATCTCTCACACTTTTACAACAAGTTTAAAGATTTTCATAATAAGAATGAAATTTTTTATTATTTGTATTTAATAAATAAAAAATTTGTTCTCAATGCAATTGTATTTCATGTATCATCTCTCATTATATTTTTCATATTAATTCGAATAATACAATCGTTCATTTTAGACCATCTGAAGAATTTTATATAATAATCATACTTTGATTTAAAATGCATTATAAAAATATTATTTGCTCCAGTCTTGCGTATCCCCTAATTGACTTGAGCAGCAATATACAGGTTGTTCCAAAAGTTATTTCTTTTTAAGCACAAATATCGGATAAAAAACGAATAAGTGAAGTAAAATGAACGAATTGCATCTCCTGTCGTCGTTTTTTTTCTTTAAATGTACCAACATAATCTACAAGAATACGATCAAAATATCCAATATTTTTGTAGTTAAGCCTACTATTGTCAGTTAGTTTAAGAACTTAACATAGTTTAAGTATTTCTTTCCTTGCTAAGTAGATGTGAGATGGTACATAAAACTTCCCTTAAGAAAAAACCTTTATGCTCCGATTAATGGCTTGAAATATATTTTCTTAATTAGCTTATTTTTGTCCAAAATATCCAATATTTTTTAAGGTAAGCCTACTATTTTCAGTTAGTTTAAGAATTTAACATAGTCTTAACATTTCTTTAAAACGTGCCATTCAAACAAAACGTAAGTTATCCCTTTATGAAGGTCAATTAGTCGATTTGAAATCACATTTTCAGTCATAATGATATATAACTTGTATATAAACATAATTAAGATATTATAAAATATAAACATATGATAAGACATTATTTCATTATTAAATTATCTAAATTATTATAATCTTAATTATCATTATAATCTCCTATTTTCAAAGCATTTAATTATTTTATTTATTAATATATTTCATTAAATCAATTTTCAGTAATTTTTTTCCACTTATTTGAATTATCATTTGTAAACAGCAAAATTCAAATTCTTGTTCTGTAAGCAGGATACTTTCTTCCTTTTGCAAAAGAGATTTTCATTTAAATGCTTTAAAAAATTTAATGCGTTAATATTTAAATTACATGATTTAAAAAAAAATTGTATGGATGGTGTTTTCAATATTCACCTTATCTGTAGCCGGAGCTTGCAGACGTTATGGTCCGCATAAACTTCCGGAGCAACCGGAACTTATTTCTTTTCTAATGTTTTTACCTAGACTGATTCAATCATCGTTGATTAATGTGAAAAATTCATTTTTAGGAAAAATGCATACAAGTTAAATAAAGGTTCTTTGAATACATGAAAGTTAAAAAAGAAATAAAGGTTCTTTGAAGTGCGTTTGTTTTTATAGTCTCTAAATAACTCAATATAAAGATCAATACGCAAACATTACCTGGAATTATTACAGAATAAAGCTCTACACTATTTTTTTTTCTAACACTGACTATATTTATTTCTACTTAGTGATGAAGCCAAGGGCGCATATTTTGCATCTTCTCTGAAATTTTGAGTTTAAAAAATATATATAATCTCAAAAAATATATATATAATCTCAAAAAAATTCTTTAAATTTCAAGATTTCATCAAGCGTAATTTGAAATAAAATTGGTACTTTCCCATAATGCAATGTAAAATTTAGGGTAATATCTAAATATAGAAACATGACTTTTAACACTAAATAATTCAAATTCGTGTGTGCTATATATTTGACATACAAAAAATAAAGTTACTTTGAACCAGAGGTGGCATTTTGTGTGGCACACAAATTCAATTTAAATTGAAAAAAAAATGTTTTTTAAACTAATTTTTTATATAAAAGAATTAGTTAAAATTAAAACAATACAGAAATCACATTAGTGTTTGTATCCTTGTAAGTTTGCTCCTTATTATTTGTAATTGTAAAATTGTTTCTTTTTTAATAAAAAAAAGTAATTACATGCAATTTTCTGTTTATTATTTTCTTGCTTATTTAAATACATAAAAATGATGAGCAAAAAATTGTGATTGGTTAAATGTTAGCCATTGTTTAAATTTCACTAGAAACAATTCAATTTTTTCAAGATCTTAAAGGTAACGTCTGCGATATTTACTAACTTATAGCTTAATTTGATCTAGAAAAAAAAGTTACTGTAGGTGTAATATTTCAATGAACAACATTAACACGGTAGCACTTATTGACTTGACATAAAATTTATATTAATAATTGCCATGTTCAAGATTTTTTACACTAAAAGTGGATGGCTCAGTGTTGACCACGCCTGTTTTAAACAATTAAACTTCCTAAAGAAAAAGAAAATAAATGCATTTTACGAAAATTTAATGAAGTACATATCTTTTGTTTTTGTGTTTGCTGGCATGTGTTTGCTGGAATTGAAGATATTGCTTTTATTTAAGAAAGAAGAAAAATATCTCCATTATGAAATTTAATTTTTTGAAAAATAGAATTTCTGTTACAAATTGACAATAAAGCCACATTTTGTACTTATTTTAATGCCATATCTAAAAGTTACAAGTTTTAAGCTGTGCATGTTTTTAGAATGCCATGAATAAGTAGTATATCCGCGAGGTGAATATATCTTAACTTAATATTTAGCTGTTAGAGACCAGTGTCTTTTAAAAAACTTAATTGCATTTCATATTTTAAACTTTAAAATAACTCTCCAGAAAAAGGATGAGACTACTGAATATTATTATATGACAATTTTTTCTTGCCATCATCATTCAACTTGTGATAATAGGAAAAGAATATTTCGATTTAATAAAACAAATTTTTATTTCCAAATAACAAACGCTGTCAAGATAAGAGAAAACGCCAACTATCTAATGCAAAACGTAATAATAAGAAGGCTATAGCGATGTAGCGGAAGTTCGCACGAACCGGGGGAAGTTCGCTGAACTAGCTGTTTGTTTGTTTATTTAGAAAACGAGGTGAATAAATGTAAAGAATAGCAATCTCGAGCCTGCTCTAGTTCCGGTTAGAAAGTTTACAACTGCTTATTACAGCCTTTTCTGCTTGGCGATATTTTCAAACGGATAATTTTGTTTTCAATAAAAAAAGTAAATTAGATCATTTCTGAGCTCAAATCTGCACTATTTCATAAGATATTAATGTTATTAAGTAGTTCTGGTGAGTTTGAAGCGAAAATTTGTTTTAGTTATTTATAGATATATTGCTAAAATAAATGTGACATGGTTGCTAGATTTTGAATAACTCGCCGGAAACAGTAACCCGGAAGTATAGGCGGTTTAGAGTCTGCAGCTGTCCCTAGTGTAGAAAACACCATCCATATACTTAAAATGAACAAGTTTCAAAATTTATGTGTTCATGAAAAAAAAGGAATCATTTAAAAATATTGAAGTGGTATTTTTTGGTAGTCAGAAAAATAATCCCATTATTCTGACGTTTAAATTGCATAGTTAGTAGTTTTGCATCCTTGTAAACAGGTTCTCCATTATATCAAAAAAAGGAGCATAAAGGGTTAAACTAAATTAATTTTTAAAATAAAAATCTGTCTTTTGGATACGACCTGTACAAGTGTATATCAATGCCACACAGACATACATAAATTATTATGCAACAAATAGTAAAGTTGTGGTGACACTTCATTGTCTTAGCTTATATACAGATTTTTTTAAATATTTTTTTAAATAAATTAACAAGAATAACAGTCACCATAGAAAAAGAAGGAGAACAACAAAATAGTGCGAGCGCAGGCGTCTCCACAAAAATTACAAAAATATTCCCGCTCTTCATTTTGTTTGCATCTTTTGAAGACCATTTTTGTGTGTTAGGGAGAACACTTCGATATACGACTGGAAAAAAAGGACAGAAGGATTTGTTTATCGAGTGTCTCCCTCTCACCAATGATCCACAATTCATTATATAAAAGTACTCTCGAAAGCAGCACCTCATATTTGGGAATGTCAAATTTCTGTGCCACTCTTGAAAGTCGTTCGTTTTAAATATTTACCATCGTAAATTGAACACAGAAAACATGCAATAAGGATAATTTTTTTTTGCTTTTCTTTTCCAAATGAAACTCTGGCACATGGAAACTGTACTTTTTTAAACTTCTATTGCTCAATACAATGATTTCAATTTAAAGATCACGAGAAATCTCACTGACTGAAATCTTCACAAAAATCAAATTCTTTCATTGTTTATTCTAAATTTTGGAAAAACATTCATTAACTTGGCTCATAATTTCATACCCCAGCATCAAAAAATTTCTATAAGCTTTAAACAGTTTAATGCCAATTGTTCACTCAAAACTTTTAAATATGATAATATTAACTGCTTACTATTAAACACAATTAGTCTAATAAGTTACTTTAATCAATATCAGTACAATATAAATGCTTAAAATTCCAAATATTCAATATTTTACTGTTATTTATTACATATTTTTCTTTATTTCATCCAGAAATAACTCACCTGTGTTCGTATAGCTTTATCTTTTCAAAAACTTGTGTAAAATGAATGTTATACATTAGTTTTTAATTTCTGAACCAATAAACAGGAAAAACCAAATTCTTAAATTTCCACTCATGACATTTATTGATGCAAAAATATTATTATTAGAAAAACAAACAAACTAAGAAGTGTCTTTAAAATAATGTTAAGCAATAGAGGTTTAAAATATCACGAAAATCATATATTTTGAAATTCTATCAAAAGTATATTGATTGGGCACATGTGAGGGGGGGTATTGATAGAGGGAAATTTGTTCTTTGTTTCAATAAGGAAGATCGCAGTAGACCAAACAGAGCCAGCGGATTATTCTGAAGCGCAGAGAAAGGTTCTTCAGAGTGTGGATATTTTGACCAACTCACGTGAATCGTGTGAAGACTTTCTTGGCATCGCGTTCATCTCCTCTTCCTGATCACATATTGTCACACGATGCTGAAAGAGAGATTTGACATCAAATATGCAGAAATACTTTAAATGATTCATTTAGATTCATGATTCATTTGAATACTGACTGATTTCAAAACTAAAAATCGCGAGGAGAAAAAAAGGAGAATGAGAAATGAAACAAACGTGAGAAAGCTGTAAAAATTGTGTTTATTGTGAAAGCTGTAAAAAATCTATATTGAAATTTCGGTAGTTAGTTACAAAAGTTACCAACACATGTCACCGCAAATCATTGATGACTGGATAATTAATTCTAGAGTTGAAACATGAAATCAGATTGCGTAGCATGCAGTGTGGCTACTAAGCGCATGGCTGAGAGCCCTCATGTAGCAAGACGGAAAAAAGAAAAAACTGGTACGTAACACATTTCCTTCCAGCATTTTTTTTTTCGAAAAAAATAAAATATCTGTAACTATCAAGATTTCTTTTATAATTTAAGCTTGTAAATAAAACTGCTTCTTTTCCAAGATAAAGTAGATACTGATAAATAATTTCAAAAAAGAATAAGTAAACTCCTGCCAAAAACTAGCTACAACTGAAAAGATTTATTTACTACCTGCCTTTCCTCTTTTCCGTCTAGCTTTCTACCCTCGACTAAACGTCGTGCGCTTCTGGTACTGGAATAACACAGATTCGATTAGTCATACAAAATTTGTATTCTTTTTAAGACTTTTGTATATTGTATAGCACCATCTGTTTTCGATTTATGTAATTAAATTACAAATTTTCAGTATAAAGACTTTGAAGTTTTCACAATAAACATACAGTTTACTTCCTTCCTCTATGTCTATAAAATCAGTAAGTCCTAGAATGGACACCCAGTACATAAATTCATTAAACTTCTGGTTCCATACTATGCACCTTATTGCACTACAACTGGAAGTTCAATAAAGTGAGAGGTATTTACTGGAACACAATTTTTACCACCTTGAGAACTGACACACTTGGAATGACTGATATTCCGCGGCTGTTGCCAGATTACGAAGCTGTTATTTTTCTACATAGACTAAAATGATGAACTGTAACCACAATGCTGTAAGTACTGCTCAAACGCTGCCGTAGCAGACTTTGATAGAGACGTGTTGTTTAGAACTATTGACCGATGGGCATGCGCGCATTGAGCAGCATCATAACGTAAATGAGTGAAATTGATCCTCCATATGCTGCGCGATAATGTTCCGAATTTCGTTCTGTATTTCTGTAATTTTATTAATCGCTGTGAAAATATTAAATGCTTCCATTTTAATCTTACATGTACAAATCATTTACTTTTATTGTTTATTAAAATTATACTGAGTGATCAAATATATTAGTTAAACGAGCTTTTTGAAACCTCCTGAAAGAAAAATGTTGCAACTAATAATGTTAGATGGACTTGAAAGATCTTTGTTGGGTTCGATTTCTATAGCAGGAAGCTGTGTCCTGAATATCAGTTCACCCGTTAGTTATTGCATTTGAATCTGTAGGAAGGCTCTCTCGCAATATAAAATACTTTTGTTTTGCGAATAATATGCTATTTTTATAACTGCTGTGAATTTGCACCTACCGGAAAAATACACCGGGTAAGCCATTGTACATTTAGCCATTGTACATTGTACATTAAAAGAATAGAAAAATCAAAAAATGCTTCGATCTTCACTACTGTTTAATAATTGTACATTAAGAGCGATGATTAGAAAATATAAGCATTGTTTGTTTGAGTAATTCTTATAGAAAAAATCTAATACTACTGACATGCAATCTAATATTACTGCCATGCAATTTGTATTCATTCTCAGCCATGCGATTTGAATGCATTCGCATGCTATTTGTGATATTTGAAGAAAAAAATTCCAATTTTTCTCTTTATATGAAGAAAGCCTCGACTTATAACGAAAGACACCCAGTAAGTCTGTAGTGTTTCTACCACTACAAAAATATAATTCCAATTCACTAGTATATATGACATGTTAACTCGATTCTATGGTGGAGTACCTTTGAACACGCCTACCTTAGCAGAAACGCCCACAACGATTTGAACACGCCTACTTCAATGGATGAACCACAACTGAACAGTTGACTTGCTACTTGTGACTGCGATATTGTGCTCCTCACGCTGTTACTTCTCAGTCTCGATCTCTCACAACGTTGGCCTGTGTACACTTGACTGCTAATGGCAACACAGGAGTAATCACGACCGTGAACTTAATACAGCTCTCACAATCAGCAAAAGTACGGTGATCTAAATACAGCTCTCCCGGCTTCTCACGAAAATCAGCAGCGCATCAACTAGTGGTATTCGTTCATCGAATTCCATCACAGATATAATGCTGGTGGGGGAGTACTGCAGTGTTTCTACCACTACAAAGATATAATTTCAATTCACAAGTATATAAGATATGTTAACTCGATTCGGGGTACCTTTTCATAGATAAAGGTTGACATTGTCTATAATTATTATCTCCCACAAGTCGCTTAGGGTGTCTCAAAATTCATACCAAAAGTAGTTTTGAAAGAAAACACGTCATTAAAAATTGTGAGATTCATGAAGTATAGGTTTAAGTGAAGAGTTGCATATGGAATAAATATTTCAAGAGATTTGCTGGGATATTGATATAATCATCCTTCTTTTTTCATATTGACATTCTCCATGCTCTTTTTCAAAACTTTTAAGGACCGATTTGCATTATTGAGGTTGCGTTTCTTAGATGCGAGTCAATATTCTCCATCAAAGTATCGAGCCTGATGGCAAAGCCTTATACTTAAAAAAAAATGAAAAATAAAAAAGACCAACTTAGTTAAATTGCTTGATCTGGGTGAACAATTTTAAACCGAACCCAGAAGAGGAAATTAAAAAAAGATATAAAAAAAAGAATCAACAAAAAAGTTATGATTGCCTTATTACGATTGCCCATTGGTCAAATGCTTTTTCTTTCCGGATTGACTTCGTTAAACGCCACAACATTTGAAATCATGGGTTGCCGTCTCAATGGATGTTTGTCGTCGGATGGATTTTCATGTCCTGCCTATGTACGTGTTTAGACGTCACAAAATACTTTTCCTTCTTCAGCTTTCATATTTGTATTGAAATCACCATCAAGCCAGTAATTATAAGTTAATAATAAAAAGGATATAAAAATATTTGAAATTATTATTATGTAAATACCTTAAAAATGCCTGCTAGTGAAAAAAAAGAAGAAAAAAAACCTGCTGTCGCCATAGCAACGCGTGCAATGACGACGCACTGTTTTACTATTGCTCTTGAACACAGTTGAGAAGTGTGTGGACGCCATCAGATCCAAATTAAGACCCATTTTGCAAAATGGGTAATAATTTTAAATATTTTTTAATTAAAAAGACGCATTACGTGCCCGTTTGTGTAACCGGTCAGTTGTTATAGGCTGTCCTTCATTGGTGACATTTTATTGGAGCAAATCTTGAGACATTGTGCCAAGCAGGAGAATAAAGGTGGATTTGGGAACAACAAATTTAATTCCTCACTCAAACAATTATCCTCACTCATTTCCAAATATTCATAGTATTACCCGGCATAACAAATATTGTTAGTTACAAATGATTCAAAAATTTGATAAATTATTATAAAGCAGTAATAAAGTATTTTCGATCAGCTTCTGTAAACTGTATTAAGTAGAAGGCCTTGATGAAAAACTGTGGGAAAAAAAGGATTCTATTTGGGCTCATTGAGCTTATCTTATAACCCACAATTAATCTATCAAAAAATGTAATTAGTTTATTAGATTTTGAGAAACCTGGACCCTATCTTGTACAGAGGAGGCTATGTTGGGTACCTTTGAGAGAAATGTCTTGAGAAGTATTTTTGGAGGAATTTAAAAAAAAAAAAATCGTGTGTGGCTTAGAAGAGCAAATCTAGAGCTTGATCCCTCATATAATGAACCTGACATTATTAACTTTATTAAACGACAAAGAATAAAATGGGCAGGCAGCGTAATCAGAATTGACGAAGACCGTAACACAAAAAGAGTTTTCAATGCCAGACCAGTTGGCATACGAAAAAGAGGCAGACCGAATTTGAGATGGGTAGATAGCCTAGAAAAAGACCTTTTGGTCTTAAAAACTAAAAACTGGAAAACACTAGCAGAAAAAATGTTAGCCTGGAAGAAACTTCTTGAGAAAGCCAAGGCCCACCCTAGCCTGTCGAGCCATTGTTGATGATGATGATATAATTTTTTTTTAAATATTTTTCATCCATATATAAGTACATATCTAAGCATTGTTGTTATTATGATTGTAATTAAAGTCTTAAAATAAGATTTGAAATTTAAACATGTCTTATTTCTGTAAAAACGACGATAGTGTTTTGAAACAAAAAGGAGGATATGCTTATTTTCTGATTTAAAATGTGCAAATCTGCGCTTTCTCAGTTACGCGCAGGTGAAGGAAATGCAACCGAAGAAAGTAATTTTCTCAAACTAATCATCTTCAAGACACGCCATCTTAGGTCAATCGTGGCAGTTGTCGATTCAGAAGCCAAACATGTTCGAGACACACACGTGACGTCGCTCACATGTATCCAATTAAATCTCATGGTTAGACATAATCACTTTTTACTTCTCCTCGAGCTGCCCAATTACGGCCAACTTCAAGCAAAAGACTAAAAAAAGTAATATTTATTACGACAGCTTTCTTTAAGAGAAATGTAAAATTCGAATTTTTAACTAACTGAAAATAAAAAGTAAAGAAAATTTCAGCCATATGAAAATGTTGTTGAAAATTTCAGTGTTCAGAAATTTTAAAGAAGAATTTCAGATTTTTGTTTTTAGGATAAAATTCCATTGTTTTCGAATTGAGAAAAGCTTGCTTCTACTCTACTTCTACTTCTGCCTCTAAGAGAGAAATTTTTTTTCCACTTACTTTCGACGCATTCATCGGCCTTATGGTAGGAGGCGTGATAAACGTTGGCTTCCAAATCCACGCTCTACACACAAACACATAAAGAGTCAGCAAGCACACAAAACATTTAATAACACAATGGTGTTTAAATTAATCACAGTTCACCTCTTGAGTTATTGGTGCCACCAAAATAAATAAAGTAGATAATTTAAAATACAATAAAATAAAAAAAATTAAATAAACATTTAAAAAATAAAATAATAATAAATAAAAGATAATACAAAAGAGAAAAAAATTAAATAAGAACAACAGAATAAAATGAATTAATGTAATAAATAAATAAAAACATTTTGTTAAGTTCACTTGAACTGAAAGTGTAACTTCTTTCTTTTGCTAGCACTGTAGTGCAAGTTCAAATTTTTGCATATAAGAATTGTTAAAAAGAAAAAATAATTCTCTAAGAAATAATTTAAACCGGACATTCAGACGTCTAAAACTTAATAAGACAGTGGAGCTTTAAAAACAAACTTTTGTTTTACTCTAGAACCCAAATATTTTGTGAATCAGCGCTATATACATATATTATTATACATCTACTCACATTGTACACAGTCTTACACATTATACTCATGCACAAAATGTCATAAATAAATTTATGGAGACAATAAAAATATCACATTGCGACAATTGTTTCATAAAAATTTTTCGCTTTTTTTTCTTTCTTTTTTTTTATTATTTGAACCTATTCAGCGCTAATAGTCTAATAATGATTTTTTTTTTCATTTGGAAATATATTTCTTTTTAAAACTTCACAGAACGAAAAAAAAATTTTTTTCCAAAAAATTCAATTACTTTTTATTGTTTGTGTAATAAATCTATCTAAACATTTCACATTAGAGAATTTCCAAAAGAGAGTGAAAATAAAATAGAAGAAATTGCTAATTGCCTAAAAATAAAATACAAAATAACCTAAAATATAACTCAAAGGACTTCGAATGAAATAATTAAGAAAATTCTACTATTACGTTTAATAAAAGGGAAGATTCATTAACTCAACAGCAAAATCACAGTATTGCCATTCCGAAAAAAAAAAAATCTTACACTCTCTCAAAAACTATTTACGTTCCAAAATTATCACCATAGCAACTACAAAAGTCTACTCGTTGCCATCTACTAGCTGACATATAATAAGTAAATTATTTTATTAAAAAATACGGTAAGCATAAACACATAACATCTTATCTAATGTTCTAAAATCCTTTAACACGTAGTGGTGAACATTAATATTGTATTTAAAAATAGTTCTCGTAATAAAAATTTTAATTTCAAATAGCAATAGATTTATAGGTTAATATTAATTTTTATAAATTAACAGATTTCTTTTTTTATTGATTATTTGATTATTCAAGTCCAAATAAGTGAGGCTCATTACAAATTTAAAGAGCATAAATAGTGCGCATTTAAAAAAAAAAATTTTCTTATGTAAGTAAACCACTTTAGAGTATTTAAATAATCAATTTGATCCATTAACAAAGTTATCAGCTTTGTAATTAATCACTAAAAAAATTTATGATTTTTAAATTTAATGTTAGAGCAAAAACAAATTCTTGCTATCATTTTAATGAGTTTATTTTTTAAAATTAAAGCTAACTAAAACTATTTTTTACACTGGCCACGATGAAATGGATAAGTTTATCTAAGCAGCAGATCTTGGCTTACCCGCTATTATCTTGGCTAATCTAATATAGCTTAGTTTTTTTCTTCAGAGTAGTTTGTATTCAATGAGGAAGAACATGTCTCCAAAAACCACAGTGGTTATTAGAAATAGAAGCTGCAAACTTTTACTTAGTTATTGATACACGAGCAAAAAAAAATAACATTTTTTTTTAATATTCGACGTCGTCATCCTCCCAAACATTACCTCCATCAAACATAATTATTTTAAAAAAGCATATTACTGACAGATGCAATTCGATTTGTAAGACTTTTAAAACTCTTGAAAAAAAAGTGCTTAAATTCATTATGAAAACGTAATCAACATTTGTTTTTCAATAAGACTTTAAAAAAATAATTTTTATTTGAACATATAAAATGCATTTGAAGCATATTTCTCTTTGAATCAGAAATGGTGCCTGGCAGGATATTTAAGAGACCTCGCCATCTCGGATTTTAGGTTAAATTTTTAATTTGTATTTTCGTGATATATTTTTTGAACTTTTGATGATATATTATTAGACATCGCAATTCCTTTTTAAAAAGATAGAAAATAAATTGATTAGATTAGGAAAAAATAGCGCTTGATAATTTCTTAATACTCGTATGAATGATTCCTTAAAACATTAAAGCAATAAAATGATACGATTTTGTGTTTTGAGTAAGCAATTTAAAACTACACGACTAAAATTAAACTTTGAGAATTTTATTTTTTTACGGATGAGAACGGATTAGAATAACACTGAAAAAATTCTTTTAATGTTAATTGCATTCAAAAAAATTTAAAAACTTGGCAACTGCCAAAAAAGTTAAAATTGTTAATTTTAAAAGAAAGAGAATTGGAGAGTAAATGTGAGGGAATGTTGAGGACTTACTTGATACTTCTTCCTTCCACAGCAGCATGTGAGGAGTCTTCTTTCGTGGAAGGAGAAGGAAGGGGCAGGAGATAGGGGCGGCGTCGAAGAAGGGCGGTTTGGTTGTCCGTTGTAGGGCACCTCCAATTCTACGAATTGGCGATCCTGAAAGGAAAATTACATGCGTTACTAATATTACTTACAGTCCATGGCAACACATTATTAGACTCACTATAAAAAGATTCTTATGTAAAATCCTATACAACTTTATTGTTTTGAAGCAGTTCGCACTTCCATTCGTGTATTAATTGGTTAACATTGTATAATGCAATACGTTAAGAATAAATACAAATGGGAAGTCTATAAGAAAATCCCCTGAATTCCATTACATGCATGTTTAAATATAAAAGTATTCGCGATCGCAACGAACTATAGGGGGCGTTGTTGTATGAGACTAATACCTGCGATTTCTATATGAACAGTCATTCAGTTACTCTAGAGACGTCGTTAATGTAGCACGTAGCATTGCAACGTTCCTTCTTTATTGTGGCTAATTAAATTTAAAAAAGAAAAATGCTTGATATTCTTTCTTATGCAAACGAAAACAAAATGGTATCTCTTTTTATTAGAGAAGGAATATCCAAAACACATCGGAAAAATATTTGTACATTAACAGAAAAAAATATGTATATTCTTAT